GATGTTCTCACACACTTTAATGCTGCTTTCTGTACTTTGATCGTAGACTCTAGAGCAATCTGGATGCACCGCAAGGAACTGCTAGGAATAAACTGTATGAGCGGTCTTCAGCCAGCTGAACAGATCTCATACATTGTGCAATGCTAATAGAAAGTAAAGTATGTATGTATGTATCTTTTTTTATATGCAGCAGAGGATCCAGAATATTTGTATTTTTTAATATTCTAGATCACAACTCTCCAAACTTTCTTGGCACAGGTACCGTTTACTGTCCTTCAGCCATTAGGGGGCCTGACTGTATCCAGTGGGAATAGAAAATGCCTTGGCATTAGTGTCCCATCATTGGATTTATTGGGAGGAATAGTGCCCTATTGTTGGTCTCAATGGGAAGAATAGTACCCCACTAATGTTGTTAATAAGGGAAATGGTGCTACATCATTGGTGTCACTTGGTGAAATAGTGCACCAGGGGCCAGATAAAAGGCAAGCAAAGCACCACATGTTGCCTCTGGGTCAAAGTTTAGAGACCACTGTTCTAGACTTCAGTCATTTGAACAAATTTTCTGAAAGAATTAAGACTGATTAAAACATTTATTTATATCAAAAAGACATTTTATGTGGGAACAACTTGTTATCTCCAAAGGGGAAGTCATTTGTGAATCTTCAGTTTATCTCTGATCTTTTTGCATGTTTCACACACACACATCCACAGACAAATAATCTAACATTATTACAGACAGGTAGCGTTTGCTAAGCGAGTTTGCTTACAGGTCAACAAAGAGGAAACCTGCTCTGTAAGAGCTGCTATTGCTGACCACCTTCTGAAAATAAAAATTGCCTGGCTGTCTCAGATTCATTATCTTCTATGTCAGTGACCTGAGACAGGCATACAAATTGGAAAGAATGACATCAGAAATCCTGGATACTAGAGACCAATAAAGCCTGACACAGCCAGGCAGCTAGCATTTTCAGAAGGAAAAGTCAACAATGGCACCTTACATACAGTACACTTATTTCATTGTGTATCTAAAACCTTTAGATGCACTTTACTGATACTAGACTGATCAATATTTTTACTTATAGAGGTACAGTCAGGTTGTAGGAAAATTAGACCCTACTCTGATTAAATATAAGAAGTGTCCAAAAGATGTAAATGTACATACTGTACCTTTACTAATATGCTCATGTCTGAAAACTGTATATTCCACAAACTAGTCAGAATTCTGCTTTCATTTACAAAGCTGCACTGATTGAAATCTGCTTGCTGCAGTCAACAGTCATTTATTTCAGACTCCTTAAGCAGTATTAAACCCCCCAAAAAATGCATGCAGATGTAGTGGCTACATCAGTATTCCTTTCTTAGGCTTTTCCCTCTGTTTTCACCTGGTGATCTGGATGAAGGAGCATAGGAGGCATCTTTGGACAGCAGCATTGTCAGTCTGGAAATGGAGTGTTAGATGTATTAGCAGATTTAAATACACTAACAAATTGAAGCCAAACTCCAGCTAATACTTTATAAGCAGTTACAGCAGGTTTTTTTTTTCTTTTGGAATAAAGGTTTTAGATAAAATGTTGGTAATTGTAAGCTCCCCTGCTAGTGGTAAATGGTTTGTCTCATCTCTGTAACTGATACATTCTACAGGAAAGCTTGTTCTATTGAAAAGCAGCAGACTTACTGGCTGGATCACCAGGTGAAAATAGAAGAAAGCAATCCTAAAAAAAAATATATATATATATGAACACAGCCATCACAGCTAAGACTTGGTAAAGTACAATATAATGCATGTTTTCTTTTGGGTTTAATAACACTTTAATAGACAATCAGTTAATTTAATCTGATGTGTTGAGTTGCAAGGCTGGTCTTTAACCATTTTGCTACTAGGCCCTGCCTCCCTTTTTTCACCTTAAATGGCTCAACAATATTTGAAAAAGTAGCAAATAATGTGAAAAAATAGCAAAGTTAGTAAAAGTCCCCCAAACCATTTATTTTCTCAAAGCAAAGAACCTGCAGAATTGAAAGGATTCTACCAATTTTGTTCATCCCAGTCACACAATTGTTTAGCAAATCTGCATTTTTAAAAATGCACTAAAATAACACAACCGAACTTCTGAATTTCAAACTAAATCTAAAAGATAAAACTGCACTGTTAACTTTTGAAGGAAAGCAACTTGAGCCCAAAACCCTGAGGCATCTTAGACATCTGTGTGTTGGTAACCCATAATTTGCAATTTGGGGAGCTGCAGCGCCATGAATTTTTAATGGAACAGCAACGCACCTTGCCAGCAAACCTTTATGAATTTTCTGAAGCAGTGCAAATGAAGCGATGGTGCCTTTACTGCCAGAAACAAATACCCACAGGCACCACACAGCTCAGAGGAGTGGGCAAAAGCTGGTGATGGACAGGGACTGGAGCACAAGATGCAGACACAGGCTGGAGAGTTGGATGTGATCAGCAGCCATAAACACATATAAGCTGGGTACAGGAGCAGCCACACTTAAAGATTTTATAGATTTTGTGGATGTGATCAGTGGCTTGTTAGCGGATGATCACAACCATTTGTGTGAGAACAAAGTACCAGGCGTCACTTTTATATAGTAAATGTTATAACCCCTGTAAGGTTTTTAATGCCAGAACTAAACAACATCTGTCCAAAGATTCACTTTATCTGTACTTTCAGCTTTTTGTCAATGGAGCTGAACACCCTTTTTTGTTGGTTATGATATACCGTATAATATGTATTTTGTGTGACACCAACACTAGATTCTTCTGAACATTTGAGCTCATCTAACAATAACGCCTAGAGCCAGTCAGAGCTTCCAGTTTTGAGCTAACAAGCAAAATGCAGTTTTAGTTTGGAGATATGGAATCCTTAGGCAATTGTGCAGTAAAGTGATCCTTAATCCTAAATAAATAAAACACTTAAACCTACTGAGCTACATATTTTACCTATCTGTATCCTTCATTTTTAATATAACTCTTTCCAATAATGGGAAATATTTTGTGATCTTGCAGTACATGTGGTTTCTTGTTCCTGGTGGCAACAATATGGAGGCCCTTCGAGCCTCTGCAGCGCTGCCATCAGTGCACATGCTCCCCATTTAGCTAAACTTTGTACTGCTTACTAGGTCACATGATCATTGTTTTTTCACAGCAGCATTTGCCAGGTTCAGGGGCAGAGCTAAACCACAGCATGTCACGTGACATCCCTTTAATTAATACACACCATACCATTCAGAGAGGAGTGCACGGTCAGCACCAGCAGGCGACAGCTGCGGCTTCAGATCGAGGCTGCAGCCATCTAGGTAAGTAAAAAAAATAAATCAATGATAAACATTCCTGCACGTCTCTTTTAAGCATGGTTTGTATTCCTGTAGACTTGCATGGGAATGTAAAACCTGTTTGAAGCAAACAAAATCCTTGCAACACAGGCCCTTAAACTGACACATTAAAATCACCATTCAGTATGCATTATCTGCATGGTGCATGTAGTTCTCACTGCGTAACAGTTTTCTGAGCAGTAGTAATCAATTTCCACCTTAATTAGTTGACGCTTGCCTGTGTATGACTGGGGTGGTGTCATTACATTTTAAGGGCAAGAAATGACATAAAGGTTGTATGTTTTTATGTAGAATGCAATTTGGAATATGTCCACACTGAGTAAAGCAGTAAAATAGGTTATCTATTTTTATTGAACAATATGCTTGTTATTGTTTGATAGGAAAATTTCCCACACAAGTCTCTACACTATGACAATGTATGACTAGAGGTAGCATTCCAATTGAAAGCTTCAGCATGTTTTTCACTCTCACCCTGCTTTGGATTAATTTATCAAAAGCAGATCTTTAAATATATGGAATTATATCCATAAAAGATTTCATTTACACACTTGTTATTCTGAAACACCCAAAATGAATGTCAAAAGCACATGCACGCACTGAGTGTTGCATTGCGTAGAATTCTAGACAAATGGGAAATGCGGTTAAAGGCATACAAAGCAGCAAGCACAAGAAATTGTGCCGCACTTTCAGTTCTGAAGTATAAACTTGTACTTTGTTCATGTTCTGTTCTATTCCAGCTATAAAGCATATTGGTCAGCACAAACTCTCTTTACAAAGTACAGTCTTGGAGGTTGCTTTAAAACCAGACACATACTTTGAATACAGTATAGTCGATTTTTACGTAGATTTAAAAATGTATAACTTCCCAGCAGACAGCACAGCAAATGGAATGACAATCTGACGTGCCCAAGAGGTCAGCAAACAGCCTATGTAGTATCTTTTTGCTGGAGGGAATCAGTGCTGTAACGAAAGAGTAACACTAAACATGTAAATGTACATTGTATGTTTTATAGCCTAAGACAAACATGAAAGTCTATTATTATATCAGCGAACCACAAAGTCACAATAGCAGCCATGCTTACTCACTGAACGCACATTAACCCAAATTTACAAAATTAAAAAAAAAAAAAATACTCCTATTAAATAAACTGTCCTTGTCATGCATTTCGGCATCTATATATTATGCTTTACAGGAATGGTAAAAAATGGATTAACACTTCTTCCAGATGCCATAATATCACCATTTGTTCTTTAAACAGCAGGCACTTTCCAAAAGAGGTTGCTCCTTGCTACAAATAAAAAGTTGTTGCATCAACAGCAGAGGGTAAAGCAGTCAGTCACATTTCCCTCATTGTTCAGTACATGATAACAAAATTTGGGTTATCTTTTCACTAGGACACACGGGAACAAGCAAGAAGAAGGCCGCAGCAAAGTTATGTGTGCAATTTGTGTGCCATACCTAAAAACCGAAAAAAAAAAAAAAAAAAAAATTGCATTTGATAAGAAAAAGAAAGTCCTCATTTAAATTTCCGCTTTCAGTACCACAAGAATGGTTATGTTTCTAGTGTGTGAACTGCACCCAACTCTTCACCACACTGGGGCCTGAGATGCTCCGGTACCATACTTGGTCATATTGCATTCATAGCTATTTCCTCTCTAGGTCATGCATTTTCTTCAAGAGGAAATACTAGCCGTGTTCCTCTATTGGTAATTTCATAGTCTCCCTCCAAGTTCACGTTCCAGTGCTTCTTCTGAACTGCTTTTTGTTCTTCTGCCATCTAAGCTTGTGGTGGCTGTGTGAGACCCTGAAGACCCATTAGCTGTGATGGTGGTGTCTCCATAAGTCAATGTAAGGTCACCATCATTAAGAATGAAATCTGCATCATCTTCTCTCAGCTGTTCTGGATTCTACATTGAAAACATGGATGCATATGTCAGTCAATTTCTACTAATTTAAATAGAGATTATGTACAGCATCTTTAGGTAGCAGGCAGACAATGTTTTATGGTGCCCATGTTAGTGTATAGAATCACTATCATTAATCAAGTGTGTACACAAAACGTACAAAGAATTTACCTGAGCGACAATTCACGTTATTTGAAATATGCATGTAAAGTCCAAGTACCAAACACTGCCTTCTCCACATTCTTTGCTGGAAATACCTTACATTTAGCTCCCTTATAACTGACTAATAAGAATGTCCAACCTGGCAGTAACCATAATGGGCTCCATTGTTGCTCAGCAACTGCTGTCAAGTTGATTCTCCAGGACAGGCATTTAGAACTGGTTCTAATATAGATCTATGAAATCCTTGTTTTCTGAGACTATCCAAGCTTTATCCTGGATTAAGCTCAGTTAAAGGGAGAGCGGTGTTGCCCGTGAAATGCTTTGGATGTTTTTTATAGGACTTTTCTATATATTAGACCCCTAATGGCTCTCCTAAAACTAGAACAGGTGTCCCCATTGAAATATTTTCCCCGTCAGCAATTGTTGCTTTATGTGAAATTCTGGATTTCCCATCATTTTCTGGCCTGGCGACAGCAGTCATTTGAAAACAAATGACAGTCAATCTCACCTGCTAGGACAAGGTCAGCAATAGAAACCTGATAGATATTGTAAACCTTCCACACTTTATACAAAACTAGAAAAATATGTTTTGGCTATAAATAAAACAAAGCTGAAAATTGCACAGAATTCCTGAGTAGTTTCAATAGATATCTAAAATACATGTTTTCAGTTTCTAATATTAGTTTAACTACCTTTAGTTACTCAACAGGTTTGCTTTAAATTAGCTAAAGACAGAATGGAAAGTGTAAGATATCCACATGTATCCCCAAACCGCCAATTTAACATGCAGTATCTAGCCCAACTCATGAGAAGAATCTCATATACAAAAAAAATGCACAGATAGTTGAATACCAAATTAATAGGCCCCTTTCACGCTGGTGCATTTTGTCACACTTTTCCAGGGTGACAAAAGTGCATGAAAACTTTTCCCCATTAAATCCTATGTAGCTGTTCACACTGCAGGTGTGCTGCGCTTTGAAAAGTCCTGCAAGCTGTATCTTTTGTGCAATTTTTCAAAAGTGCACTAAAAAGTCACCTTCCATTGTAAGTAAATCGTAATGCATGAAGAGCGAATAAGGGCCGAGAAATTCACTTCTCCCATTTTTGGAGGTTTTTTTCCCACCAGTGGAAGTGTGCAGCCCCCCCCCCCCCCCCCCCGCCCGCTACCTCCTGAAACACGTCAAGACCCAGGAGGCTGCGGGTCCATTCACAAAGCACAGCTTGACTCATGCATGTACAGTGGAGAGCCAGATGTGAAGCCCCAAGGAGTCACAGCACGTTTCCTGCCGTAAACATGGCAGTGTCGGGAACTTGAAGATGGGTGAAGAACCGGCCTGGGTGAGGACAATGCTGTATCCTTTGAAAGAGAAGTGTCTTTTTATTTAAAGTCAGCAGCTACAGTATTTATAGCTGCTTTTAATTTTTTTTCAGACTGACAAACCTCTTTAAGCTGAACAAAAAGTGCATCAGTATGAAAGGGCCCTAATAAATATTAGAAGAGAGTGGGGTGAAAAGCAATGAATGAAAATTGGGTAATATACTCACATTATATACTTGTGGGCTGGTAAAACATCTGGCAATCAAGCCACACCAGCTGGGCAGTGTTGTAGTTAATGGAGGACCACTGTGTGTCAGCATAGGCTTCAGATAACTTTTTTGGACGTTAAGGAAAAACTGACATATTTTATACAGAGTTATATAGTTAAGTAATGATCCATTTCAAGTATATGTATATAAAAAGCAATCCTGGGCAACAAGCAAATACATTCAGTGAGCTGCTAAAGCAATCTAGGTAAAACCTAAGTTTGGTGAAAAATAAAACCAGTAAAATCAACACAAGGGTCATAACTTACAGTTAGTACGAGGTGAGATCTCTGAATGAAGGGGCGGAGCTGTCAATCATCCACCCATCCCCCATTTATAGATCCTGTGTCATTTATACAAGCTGTAGTACAGCTTCTATGAACAGCAGATTTGGCAGTAAAGAAAAGGAGAAGAATTATCACAAGGAACACATCATACTGTAAGTTATGTCCTTTGTTCCGATTTTTCGGTTTTTACTTTTAGCAAAATTTAGGCTTTAACAGAGCAACTTTTTTTTTCCTCTTGGACTGTTCATTGATAAACTACAGTGTAAGGAGATATGACTGCCATTTATGAAATTTACACAAATGTGTGTTTATTTATTGCCAGTAAAACTGGTAAGGGCCATAACATGACAGACCACAAGCATTTTTATCACATTGTTAGGTTTAATGTACACTGGCCAGCCACAGTGCTCTGAGAGCCACTGTAATTGGATCACTGCAAAACCTGTGAAACTTAAAGAAGTTGTAAACCCTTACATATACAAAGCGAAGTGACTGGTCTCAGAGGATACACAGATATGAAAGAAATCATCCTACATTAGTTGTACCTTATTATCTGCAAGCATCTGTCCTGTACATCAGTTCAAAGTACAGAATTTATAAAGCTTGCCTTGCTGTCAGATAAAAAGGGGAAGAAAGCTGAAGTCACACACTGCAGAGCTCAGTGAGGAGAGCTCTGAGAGCTGATAGGAGGGATGGGACCACCCTTTCCCTTTTCACACAGCACACAGGAACAGAGCTGAGACAATCAATCAGCTGGAGTTCCCTCCCATTACCTTTTTTCTCTTGGTGTCAGGAAAACTTCTAAGAAGTGACTCATGGTGATAGCAGTGGAACGAAGCAGCATACAGAAATTACACTTCGTGCTCTTAATTAAGTCAAGTACACACTATAGAGGGATATGCTTTCTTCATACTTCCATGTCTGAGGTTTACAACCACTTTAAGTAACCCATGCATGAATCAGTTTTTTCATTCAACCAGCAATTTGAACTAAAACTGACTTGATTGCCCCAGCCACATATCTGAGGTGAATGGGGGAATCCTTCCGCTGAGCTATTGTACTCAGCAGGAAGGCTTTTCCATCTTCAGACTACATTGATTAGCACTCCCAGCTACAGATCAAGTAGCAAAAACCTGTGAAAGACTTGTGAACAACCACCATGCCCATACAGGAATCAAAAATGTGTCTGGTTCCCAATGAATCAGCTGAATTTTGATCCATGTATGGTCGGCTTTAGACTGTCAGCTCCTTTAAAACAAACTCAGCTAGTAGGAATGGTGCAGAAGGAAGCTTGATATGCAGGGAGAAGACAGAAAAAGGATTATATGCAGGGAGACTAACAGCTAAGATGGAGAAGCTGGGAAGCCAAGGCGGGATGAAAAGCAAGGAAGAAAAAGTATAACTGAGAAGGAAATAGAAAGCACAGAATAACAAGCAGGGAAATGATAGCTGAAAAGCTAAAAATGCTTGGAAGAGGAATGTGAAGGGGTATGTGATAATGATAAACAACAATTGACAATGTTTGAACATCAGGTGGAAGAGCAACGCATGAACAAAGCTGGGGCCAGATGAAGAGGACATTTGTTTTTAAAATTTACACCGCTTCAGGTGATTGTAGCCATATTAGTGCATTTGCAACGAAGACTATTGAGCACGGTCTGTGAGATTTCTTTATTTGCACTGATATTTAAAGTTTAGGCTTTCAGGGTGTTCATTTCTTCTTGGTCCAAGCAGTACTTATATACAAAGTTTTAGAACGCTTTTTGTATCAGTACTTTTTGGACTGAGAAAAACTGAATGATTTTAAAGCTTGTCTTAAAAATGGAAGTGTTAGTTCAAATGAACAAAAGACCTCGGACATGACTCTAAGGCAGGGGTGGGCAACTGTGGTCCTCCAGCTGTTGGTGAACTACAAGTCCCATCATGCCTCTGCCTTTGGGAGTCATGCTTGTAACTGTCAGTTTTGCAATGCCTCATGGGACTTTTAGTTCTACAACAGCTGGAGGGACACAGTTGCCCACCCCTGCTCTAAAGGTATATACTACGTCCATTAAAAAAAACAAAAAAACTGAAAAAAAAAACTGACGCAGCATAACTGACACAAAAAAGATACTTGTGATCAAAAGTATACCAGATCCGAAATACCCAGGCACTCTCCTGCCGCGTGCGACTCTCTCCAACGGATTCTCCAGCATCCTACAAGTACCATAAAATACAAATTGTGAAAATCATGTCTAAGCATTTCAGTGGCAACAGATAGTAAACAGTCCTATCTTGAATGCCGAACCAACAGTCAAACTTTTCATGAATTGCCCTTTTCTTTTTTTTTTTTCTTCAATGAAATGAGCCTTATCACCTGCCAAACTTTCAATTAAAATAGCAAGGTCACAATAAAGGCCACACACTAATGTTTTGACAATTTATAGTCAAGCTTGTGCTCTCTATAAGGTTAAAGTATATGTGTCCCATACACACAGCAAAAATGAGGATAAAATCTCTCTAACATAGAAATCACCTCTTAATCAGTTGTCACTGATACAAATGCCCCTTCTTTTCCTGTTGTGGCAATAACTTCAAATTTATTATTATTATACAGTATTTATATAGCGCCAACAGTTCGCTCAGCGCTGTATATTACAATGGGAGACAATACATGAGACAGTACAACAACAATACAGTGCGATACACGAGGGGTTCGAGGGCCCTGCTCCTTGGAGCTTACAATCTAGGAGAGAGTGGATAGTGGTACAGGAGGAAATAGCTGTGGGGGATTGAGTGGTAGGAAGACAGGAGGAGATTGGCAGTTAGGTGGGGTAGGCTTCCCTGAAGAGGTTGAATTTTTCCTTCACCTCCAGCCATATACAGCCCAAATTGTGAATGGATGGATTTGAAAATTTGAGGCCGCAATATGTATGTTCCAGGGTTTCATTCTGATTTAAAGCTAAAACTTTACATTCAGTGCATACAGTATTAACATAAATTCAGATATTAACAAACCCTCTGGGAATGTCTTAATTTACAGTGAAATAAAAATTATGTATTTAGGTACTTACTCCATGCAGTACTTGAAAGCTGTCATTAGTTGGAGGTGGGTCTTGATCTGGATCAACACCTACCCTGTAATACAAACAATTCAGATAATTTACTGATTATATATCTTCATGCTCATTAATACAATACAAACTGCCATTTTGGACAAATATAAAACACTGCACTGTGTTATTAGTTTTGAAAGGGGCATGACTACAGTTAGTAAGCATATGCAAGACAGAAGGTGTGATGCACTGATAGTTAAATAGGCTGCCAAGTTTAGTAAGAAAATTCAGTAGGGTGTCCTCCCATAATCTACTAGCACCTTTTTTTCTGTAGTATCATACATACAATTCTCTTCCTGAACAGGCAGAGGTACAGCATTCTTTAAGGTTTCAGATATTACTGTATAGTACCAATTTTCAAGTTGCCAGGACAGGTATAGTGTTCTAGTATATTTAGTTTTTGCTCAAAAATATTTCATCTTTACAATTCTGATGACACTATTACTATTGGATTACTACAACTTTCTTCAATCTTTATTTTCACAAAGGTTCAATAACTGTGGAACGATATAAAGAGACAAATGCTTTAAAAGCCGTAAAACAGTTTAAAAATGTAAAAAACTTAAGAAAGCACTAAACTGGTTAAAGAAAACCTTTACTGCAATTATGGATGCTGCCATTACAAACATCCTTCTGAAAATGCCAGTTGCCTGACTGTTTCTGGGCTCAATATTTTGAGTCGCTGATCTTCAACAACCATGTAGCTAGTAAGCTCAGAACTCCTTAGACATATTCCAAGTCAGCAACTCACAGTGCTGCAAGCCTGTGGATCAATGAAATATCAAGGCATCTATCATTTTTAAAGAAGAGATCAACAATGACAACTTATGTATGTTTCAGTACAGGTTTCCTTAAGGCCAAAAGGAGGAATATTACAAACACTCATGCACCCCCAAAACTGCAGCAGTCTGATTTAATGGGTGCGAATTCAGGGGGAAAAAAATAAACAAAAGCAAAAAAAAACCACCCCATGGTCATATTTGTTCATCATGGAATTATCAGTGTTGTCTGACGTCAGCCTTCTTTCACTTTGGCCGCCTGCTATGAGCTAGTGGGACAATGCCACAGGTCGGACATCATGGAACACTCACACCTCCTATTCCGACTTCCCTCCCCTTTCACTCTCTTCTTTTAGATTCTTTTCCCTCTTTGTTCTTACTTTCCTCTCTGTTTAGTTTTCTAATCACTGCCTATAGTGCCTCACCAAAATGCTAGTATGAGGGCTCCCACCTACATGGTGACACCTGCCTTTTGGCTGATAGAGGACTACTTATGTCTATAAATCTTTCATTACGGTCTGATGCTGTGCATTTATGAACCCTTCCTTGGGAAGCTTCATCAACCTTCATACTGCATTCTTTGCTTCAGAATGAGAGGAGCTCCACTCCCTTTGTTGTAATATACACTCATTCATGCTCATGACCTAAATCTTGGTTCATTGCATTGTATTAAAAACTTCTGCTAAAACAGAAATCCGGATTATGAAACGTCTGTGCATCTTCTACTTGGGTAAATGGCAACCAGGACAGATACAGTCAAGTCCATAAATATTGGGACATCAACACAATTCTAACATTTTAACAAGCAGGAACTGAAGAACTGAACTGAAACCCAGCATCTGGTAATGTCTATGCGTTCCAGACTTCAGGCTGTAATTGACTGCAAAGGATTTGCAACCAAGTATTAAAAAGTGAAAGTTTGATTTATGATTATTATTCTGTCCCATTACTTTTGGTCCCTTAAAAAGTGGGAGGCACATATGCAAACTGTTGTAATTCCTACACCGTTCACCTGATTTGGATGTAAATACCCTCAAATTAAAGCTGTGAGTCGATGTCCCAATATTTATGGACCTGACTGTATCTCCAGAAAGGATTTTGTGTCTGCTGCTGTTAAGAAGCTGTGGCATGTTTGCAGATCTGTACCAGCTGTATTTCAATGGTCCAAAGTAACTTTATAGTGAACCTTCACCCTCTCTTCCCAATTTCTCTCATTCCCCTTCTCTCACATAATCGGGGTTTCTGGTTCCTCACATAGACAAGAAAGACATATTGATTGCCTGCACTCATGAGGCAGTGGGGTAATCTACTGTTCTTGTGCTGACCTATCTGGGGGGTAGGCTTTTTTTTACAGCCACCTCCCTGATGATACGCCACAGTGCAGGGATGTGACAGGTGGCCCCTTGATGATATCAGAAGAAGAGGGTGGCACTGACCATGTAGTGGCAGAGCAGTGGCTGCTTACAGAACTGTAGGATTGTTGGACAGGCAAGTCTTTTTTTTTTGTGTGCATAGCTCGTTTATAGAGGCAAGACTTCTTAACTTGGCTGCCCAATGTATCTAATCTCAGGTAGAGGCAGTGAATAGTATCTAACAAAAGGTAAAGTAGGTGAAGAACTACCTTCTAAAAGCTGCAAAGGCTACAGAGAAATTGTTAAATGAAGGACAATATTAACTATCAAAACAAATATGCAGTTTATGGATATCTTTCTCTGTTGCTTTAATTGTGATTTTGTCTTCCGTGGTAAAATATCAAATTAAATAGCATGTGAAATTTGATTGCTTGAGAGAAAACTTTGGGTCAAAACATATTCTGTATGGCCTTTGAAGTTTAGGGCTCCTTGAGCTGTAGGCAATTTCCCATTTGATGATGCCTACATAGTTTCAGCTCCATTGCAGTGATCTTTTTAGCTGTCTGTAAAAGTGGCATTCTGACCTGTAAGGGTGCTATTCTTATTACTGACCACCTATACAAGAAGCATTTTTATCATTTGCCCACAGCAAATTGTTTTTAATAAAGGTTCCCCAATACTGTAAAATCTCATGGGTTTCCCTGGGGTTAAAAATATGGAGATTGGCTGCTGTAGTAAATGAGAAGTTTGGCAAAAAAAAAAAAAAAAAGGGGTCTGATGCTGCATCTGTCCCCCACCGCCTGAGACCGAGAAATGAACACTCAAAGACCACTGATAGCGCAGTTCTGTCTTCAGTGAGCAGAGAGCTGATGATTGTCAGTCTCTGGCTCTTTGCTCTGCCCTTCCAGAGCTCACTGGAGCACCGGACTGTGGAGGGGGCAGGAGAGGTTGGCTCAGACTCACAGTGGCATGCTGAGAGGCTGAACCAGCTGCTGATCTGGAATCTGGGTGGATCCCAAGACTAAAGTCGGGATCTTTCCAGAGCCTGGACAGGCTGAGTGACATCAACCAATAGCAGGCTTTAGCCCAAAGTCGACTGAAAACGGGTCACAGGAGTGCAGAACTAAGTGCACTGTGATCAATAAGAGAAGTAGGGCCTAAAGCTTTGGCCCTACTTCTCCTTTATACAGAAACTGCCCTTGGCCATGTGTGCCGGCCTGAAAATATATGTACATAAAAAGTAATAGTACAAGGGGTTGTGACCAAATAAAATGAATACACATTCATTTCCACCTACATCATGATGGTGAGATCAGTTGCACATCAGTGCGCTGCAAATACACAGCCTATGTGCTGTAAATATTTCTTTTGCTTCCATGAATTTTTTATTTCTTTTAAACACATTGAAAATATTTTTGTTGCACTGACCTGCAACAGGATACTCTAAATCTCCTTTTTGTAGCACACATTCGTAGCTAAAGAAGGTTTGATAAATCTCTAACGTTGCCAGTGTCATTCAACACACGATGTTTACTTTAGCGTTGTTGTCACTGAATGAAATGTATGATGTCAGCAGCAGCTATTTCCAGAAAGAGAAAAGGTAATTTGTTTTGTTTTTTTTATCAGGGAGTGAATGGAATTGGTCTATTATTCTACCATGGCAGCTGCAGAATGACACAGCCCATTTCAATTTGTCTTTACTTTCATTTGAAACTACTGGCTAAGACACGATGAAACAAGCGAGCCTTGATCTCATCACAGAGCTTCCATTGTTGAGCTATTGGAGGGGAGTTTATGTGATTTGAAGGGCATATCATGGAGTCTAGCCAAAGCTGGAACAGCTAAACTCCAGCCAAGTGCATCTAGTTAGGAAACAGCACTTTAGTTTCCCACTCCTTGATAAAGTGATACTCCGTTTTTGTTTCGAAAAAAAAAAAAAAAAAAGAAAAATCACCTCCTGGTCAATTACACATTACAAACATTTTTGTTAACTCTAGGGGCTTTTGTTGTGTAGGTACTATGGCAGTACATGGAAGTGTATTTAATAAAAGTAGGAGGGTCTGACATTATTCCACCCTGCCTCAGCATGATTTTAGATGTGCAGCATCCTTGCGTCGCAAGGAAAAAAATTTTGGTGCGGGGCTCTAGTACAATTGGCGAAACAGTCGTGTTATCACATTGTGCATGCCTGTCCCAATCCCAAATGAATTATGGAGAGTTGAAGAAAGAAACTTCACCCTACTACGCTAAGAAATTAAAAAGATATGGCGAACAGAGAGCTGACCTATTGAATCAGAACAGATATATACATACAAATGCAGTATTGCTAGCATGGAATAAAGGCAGAGAAATCAGATTTTTTTTTTTTCCAGTTTTAGAAAATCAGGAATGGCTGCGGGGTGAAACAGAAAGATAATTTTTGGAAATTGTGTATGCGTAGACCTGAGTGATGGTCAAGACCATTCATGAGAAATTAAGGTTCCAAACAAGTGCTATACATCCACCACTACTTCACATACTCACCGTTGCAGACTTTGGGCCTGATTAACCAAAGTTCAAAATGCTACACAGGCAAGTCCTTGGAAAAAGAGACCTTGTCCAGCAAATCCCACAAAACGACGCCCAGCCCCACAGCAAGACCAGCACCAGCACTCTAAGCAACATGGATCAGTCCCTAGACAAAAATTGCTCCTGTTCTTTATATGGTTGTAGAGGGAACATAAGAGTCTATCCTCTCTGCTGGTTAAATTCCATGTCAAACCACAGAAGGTCTTGGACGCAACCAAATAAACGGACTACCTGTTCTGTGAAATTAAAGTAGAATGGATGGCATGACTACAATGCTTAAGGGACATAAGGAGGAAAACCGATAACCTTGATCTAGAAATCCA